GGCAAGATGAGCTGTCTGCTTCGAGTGAGTGTGCGGGTGGCCGGTGTTAAGTTGCCCTGACTGAGGCTGAGCCCACAGGACCTCTATCGATACCCCCGCCCTCCACCGCAGATGCTGTCCCCCTTTGAGCTGGTGCAGTTCGACATGGTGGCGGAGGAGCCTGTGAGGGACGGTCATGGCTTCTGCATCCCTGTAGGGCTAGGTATGGGGTTTGAGGAGCCCATCCTGGGTGGCAGGGGTGGCGACCCTCAGTCTTCTCCTTGGCTGGAACAGTCTGCCCAAAACCTTGACATTGGTGCTCACTAGATGCAGCCTTCATCTGGACCCTCAGCCAGTGGCCTGTCTTACCATCACCTGGGGCCTCTGCCTCAGCTTCCTGGCTCTGCCCCGCTCCCCTGCCTTGATCTCTCGCTCTGATCTGCTGGGTCCTGGGTGTCCAACTGATTTGTTCTCTTCAGCTTTCTGTGGAAGACAGCTTTCCAGGCATTGGTCCCTTGTCCTGTACCTTCTGTTAGTGTCTTCTCCCAGGGCCGTGCAAGGTCCGGTCTCATCTCTTCTGCCATTTGTCTCTGGCCGTCTTCCATCCCTTGTTACCCTTTTCCTGCTTTCATGGACTCCCGATACCGCCTTCTCTTCCGTCTTTTTCTGTGTTCCTCGTCGGAATCTCTCTGAGTCTCTCTAATCTTTGGATATTCCTGTCTTTGGATCCGTCCCTGGCAGGGTGCTGGGTGACGAAGAGTCCACCGTTGTTGAAAACCTCCAGCAGGGGGCTTGGCTGGTGGGCTCCAGGGGTTCTGGTTCCTGCTCCTACCCCCAGGGGAGCCAGGGCTTCTGCTGACCAAGGTTGCAAGCCACCATCCCTTCGTGGGCTACCGCGGCCCCCGAGAGCTGTCGGAACGGAAGCTGGTGCGCAACGTGCGGCAGTCGGGCGACGTTTACTACAACACCGGGGACGTGCTGGCCATGGACCACGAAGGCTTCCTCTACTTCCGCGACCGCCTCGGAGACACCTTCCGGTCCGAATTGGGGTTTCTCGGGGCGGGGCTGGGGGGGGGGACAACGGAAGCTTTCATATCCTAGAGGCAGCCAGGCTGAAGAGGCGGGACTTTCCTATCGCAAGAGGGCGGAGCTTGGGGTCAGGACTTCCCACGCGAAAGCGAGGCTTCTCGATTTTGGAGGGGGCGGGCCCGACCGGGCCTCCAGATCCCCAGTAGGGGCGGGGCGGGGTGGGGCCTCTCCTTGCTGGGGGCGTGGTCACAGCGCTGGCTCCAACCCTGCAGATGGAAGGGCGAGAACGTGTCCACGCGCGAGGTGGAGGGCGTGTTGTCGCAGGTGGACTTCCTGCAACAGGTTAACGTGTATGGCGTGTGTGTGCCAGGTGCGGAGGGTTCTCATTTTAAACTTCAAACAGCTTTGTGGGTGGAGGGTCTTTATTCCGATTTTACAGGTAGGGAAGTGCTAGGTACGACGTGCCGGACCTCACCACCAGTGAGCAGAGCTGGGCGGGGCTGGAGAGTCAGCCATGGGCCCTCGAGATGGGTTAGCCGAGAGTGACCAGACTGCTTCCTAGGGTGTGAGGGTAAGGTGGGCATGGCTGCCGTGCAGCTAGCCCTCGGCCATACTTTCGACGGGCAGAAGTTGTACCGGCACGTTCGCGCTTGGCTCCCTGCCTACGCTACCCCCCATTTCATCCGCATCCAGGTGAGCCCGGGGTGGCAAGGTAGGTGGGTGGAAGATCATAGCGGGGGGGTGGGTGTCACAGTGACGGGACTATGATCACTGCCCTGCAGGACGCTGTGGAGGTCACGAGCACGTTCAAACTGGTGAAGACCCGATTGGTGCGTGAGGGCTTTAACGTAGGGATCGTGACTGACCCTCTGTTTATACTGGACAACCGGGCCCAGTCCTTCCGGCCCCTGACGGCAGAAATGTACCAGGCTGTGTGTGAGGGAACCTGGAGGATCTGACCACCTGGCCAACCCACAGGGGCAAGGATCAAGGCCGGCCACCCCCACCCCACTCGGTGTCACTTTCATCATGGGCCTGCGTCAATCCTAGCCTGGCCATATCCTCAACCTCAGTGGGCTGTAAATGGCAGTGGGCCCTGTAGCCGTGGCAGAATAAACTCAAAGTGTGTTCACAGTAGTCTGTATATCTGCATGGATGAAGGATCAATGGAGGAGTGCAGGGGCTAGTGCCCTGAAGACCTTACTTGAGGGTCTTCCCTGTCTCCCAGCCAGGAACCTCAGCCTCCACTGTGGGATGACCCTGTCTGTCTAAGGCCAACAGTATGGGAGGAGCTGGCCAGCCTCACAGCCACTCTAATGTAGAGAGATGAAAATCCTGATTCCCTCTGTGGGTCTTCCGTGGCCACTGAAGCGGTGATTGGGCCTGGGTCACAGTGGGTCAGTGGATGTGGATAATTCCCCTGTATAGTGCTATGGATACACGATCTGACAGAGCCTGGAGGGTGCTGGACTGTGGCTAGAAGGCCAAGCAGGAAGTAACTGGTGGAGTAGTGTCCCTGGCAGTGTGAACAGCACATACAAAGGCCCTGGGGCAAGTTTAGCAGGTGGGGTGCAGCAGGAGCAGAGGTCTCTGGAAAATGGGAGTCTGCACAGTCTCAGGAGTTGGCTGTGCTACTCGAAGCATAGTGGAGATGTAGGTAGGGGTGTATGGGTGCTGGGTCTCAAAGGCCATAAGTGCTTCTTGGAGCTTAGTAGGAACTATAGGTTAGGCTGCAGACACAGGAAAAACTGTGGTGGTGCCGGGCCAGTGCTCCATGGGTTAACTTTGGGAGCACAGCTGGGGCAATGATGGTGACAAAAGGAACCCCACAACAGTAACGGGCCATTGGTGGGCAGTGCTGCAGGCTGTGACCTACCCATCCCTTGTGTGCACAGTACACACGCCCAATGGCAATGGCTCAAACATACCTGAGAATGGCCCTGTGTGGCAGATGCACCTGAGTGCGGTTCATATTTCCTGGCTAAGGAATCTGGGGATGTCCAACTCAGAGATTCATTCCTTACTTTTGAGGAACACCTGAGCCTTTGGCCTTGTCCCATGGAACGGTGGTGGTGCAGAGGATCCTGGCCTTTTGCTTTCAGTTAAATGAATGTTGCCTGAGGGGAGAGTGTTAAATGAAAATGCTACATAAACTGCTTTTTTTTTTTTTTTTTTTTTTTTTTTTTTTTTTTTTGAGATGAAGTCTTGCTCTGTTGCCAGGCTGGAGTACAGTATCAGCTCACTGCAACCTCCACCTCCTGGGTTCAAGCGATTTCCCTGCCTCAGCCTCCTGCTGGGACTACAGGTGCACGCCACCCCGCCAGGTCAATTTTTTATATTTTAGTAGAGATAGGGTTTCACCATGTTGGCCAGAATGGTCTCCATCTTTTGACCTCATGATCCGCCCGCCTTGGCCTCCCGAAGTGCTGGGATTACAGGTGTAAGCCACCGCAGGCTTTTTGCAAGCAGTTCTCCTGCTCAGCCCACTGTCCCTGGACTCTCCCCTGTATCTAAGCCCCCAATAAAACCCTATTACCTTGTTTGCTGGCTCTCGGTCTCTTCTTCCGCATCTTGAACCTGGTGCCATCCCCACTGGAGTCAATAGAGGTTTGGCACAATACTGTGCTCTCCTGTGCCTCGGCCTCCTCATCGTGCTATGGGCCACTGTGAGGACAGAACTGGCCTTCAAAGGGAGCAACGCAGGCAGCACCCCATGTGGGCTATGGGGCAGCTGGGCTTCACAGAGTTCCTGGTAGCATCTGGGGCTCTTCCTGTCAGCCCTACAGCCTGAAGCTGAGACAGTACCCTTAGAGTCTGTGGTCATTTCAGTTTGGGTCCCACTATGAGAATCTGTTCATCACTGGTGGCTATGCACTGTAATTATCTTCTGTGAAGTGATAGTTCTTGTGACTTGCTATTTCTCTGCCCTGCGTGGCCAACGGAGCCCCACGTGTTCTCTGAAGACCCCTAGCCCTTTCATACACCTGGACTTGGGTCCAGGCCATCATGGTCCTCCCCTGCACACAGTAGGTTGTCCAGTTCATTCATATTCCTCTTTGCTCCAGGAGAGACCCTGGCCAGGAAGGGAGCTAGAGCTGTGTGAACATAGCATAGGCCCAGGCATTGCCCCTCTTGGGAAACAGTAGGCAGGGACAAGTGGATACCAAGGCTTTGGTATCGACTTTTTTCACAGAAGTCTGTGTGTCTGCCAATGAAAGAACAGTGGGGGAATGCAGGGGCTAGTGTCCCAAAGACCTGATTTTGGGAGTCTTTCCTGCCTTCCCACCAGGGACCTCAGCTATCCCTGTGGGATGACCCCATCTGGGCTTCCTCCTCCTGTAGCTAGGTTCTCAAGTTCAGTCGTACTCATATTTCCTTCAGGAGGGACCCTGGCCAAGAAGTGAGCCTGAAGTTGGATGAACATAGCAGCAGAGGTCAGGCTGGTCACGCTTGCTGCTCCTCCAACTTGCCTTCCCAGATGCACGGTAGGTAACCATGCTTAAGAAGAAAATTCCCTTTGTGTCTACCGAAGCCAGGAGTGATGAGTTCCAAGACCAGTGAAGCTGGTGAGTGATGTGGGCAGCCAAGGAGCAAGGGAGGCTGGAGATCTGTGGCAACAGAAGTTTGGCCTTTCTGGGCCCAGCTACCCTGTAGATTATTATTATTATTATTATTATTATTTGAGATGGAGTCTTGCTCTGTTGCCCAAGCTAGATTACAATGGTGCAATCTCAGCTCACTGCAACTTCCGCCTCCCAGGTTCAAGCGATTCTCCTGTCTCAGCCTCCCAAGTAGCTGGGATTACAGGCACGCGCCACCATACCCGGCTAATTTTTATATTTTTAGTAGAGGTGGGGTTTCACCATGTTGGCCAGGCTGGTCTTGAACTCCTGACCTCAGATGATTCGCCCACCTCAGCCTTCCAGAGTGCTGGGATAACAGGCGTGAGCCATAGTGCCCAGGCCAGAAATCAGATCCTTATTCAGAAACTCTGTATTATGAAAGTGGAATTTATGTTAAAATTCTAACACACACACACGGAGCAGGAGAAACAGAAGCCAACCTTGCTTTCCTGGGTCTTCTGCTGCCCTCCACACGGAGACCTCAAACCCAGCCTGTGCACAGAGGGGTAGGAAAGCACAGTTTTTGAACACCCACCCGAGGCAAGGAGGTCCCAGGAGGGGGAGTGTTGTCAGCCCGGGCCATGCTCAGGAAGGGAGGGAGCTTGATGCTTGGCGGTCACCCCACAGGCACTGGCCAGTCATAGAAGGGAACCCAGACTTCCCTCCAGGAGGAAGGGGCAAGAAGGGAGGAAGCAACTCCTTTTCCTTACACCCAGGTCTTTTGGGGGAAGGCAGGCCAGGGAAAGGGGACTGGCTTGGGACCCCTTGTTCACTCCAGTAACCCCTGCTGCCTCCAGAGTCTTCTGCTGGTACCCCAGAGGCTGCATCCAGGCTCTGAGAACACTGAGGCCTTGAGGGACTGCACCATCTGGCTGCTCACGGAGCTTCCAGCCGGTGACTCTTAAGATGGATGACCAGCTGCGACTTCCAGTCGAAGGCGCGGCCGCAGTCACTGCAGAAGTGGCGCCGCTGGCCCGCGTGGCTCTTGCGGTGGATGACTAACTGTGACTTCCAGCTGAAGCTGCACCCACACTCCTCACATGGGTAACTCCGGGGGCCTGTGAGTGACCGTCGCGGGTGGCGCGGAAAGGCCAGCTCTCCTTGAGGCGGTTTCTCTGTGCCTTCGCCAGTGGTTAGCCCTGGGGACTGTGAACCTGGCCTGCTTGTGTGTGTCCGGTGGTGGATAACAAACACTGACTTCCAGTCGAAGCCGCGGCCACACTGCTCACACATGTAGGGGTGTGCCCTGGGGGTGGTGCCCGGCTCCAGTCGTATCTCTGTGGGTGTGGGCATGGCGGGCGCTGGTGGTGTCCCTGGGCGTGCAGTGGGGGCAGGAGCTGTGGCCCCAGACGGGCCATCCCACGCCGCAGGACCCGGGCCCCGGGGTGGCTGGGCCTCTGGGCTGCCCGGCAGACCCTCATTCTCATCTCCTGGGGGCAGGGGCAGACCAGGTGAGTCACCGCACTCTGCACTTGTGATACCGCCCACCCATCTCTCAGGCTTGTGGCCGCGGCACGCAAGATCGCACCGCGTGACTCAGGTCCCACCCGTCCAGGAGGGGTGGTTCAGGCTGCACAGTGGGGTGTACTCACCTGAGCCCAGGTTTCTGCAGACGCCTGCCCCCGTGAGCAGCACCCCCAACTCCGACTGGGCCTGTGCCTCCGGCTGGTGGGGTGGTAACCCTGCCCGGGCGGGAGGTACAGTCAGGTGAGGGGTTTGCGTGAAGGAGGGGTAGGGTGGGTTCCAATAGGTGACAGGTGTCCCTTTGGAAGGTGAGAGAGCTGGGTAGGGCTGGTACCACAGAGGCCCTGCCCAGCTAGGCCTGCTGCAGGATGGGTGCAGGCCCAGGGAGAGGGGCGGGGTGGGGCTGGCTGGTCCTCACCCAGGGAGACCACTGTGCCGTACTTCTCCAGCATCGCGTCCCAGTACAGTTCCTTCTGTGAGCGGTCCAGCAGCCCCCACTCCTCCTGCGGACGTGGCCCATCACTGTAGGCACCCTTCCACCCTCCCTTGCCCTGTCTGGTTCATATTATTACCTGGGGGAGCCAGCAGGTTACCTACGCCTCATCTGCCTCTCTAGCTGAGAATGATCTTGAGGTAGGTGTTTGTAAGTGCTGGGGTCCTCCTTCAGATCACTTGACCAATGCTGTTGCCAGCACTCATCCCCCTCAACTACCCCACCCTGCTAAGAGGGTGGGCTTGGCAGCATCACAGGGACCTGAATGACTTTATCAAGGAGTGAACTCCCTGCCTGGGAGTCAGCCCTCCTTGCCACCTGTGTCCCATCATCTGGGGCTCTACTGGGGTGGGAAAAATAATCCTCAAGGACAAGCTGTGGCAAGTCCAGGGGCACGAAGGCAGCAGTTGTGAGGAGCCACAGCTGGACGTGGATGGTGCTGGCTGGAGGTGAGGACCCCGTGGAAAGGGTAGCCTAGCTGCTCTCCTCACTTTCTGACTGTGCCATGGGGTTGTGAAGGGAGCCTGGAAAGACTTATCCACCTTGAAGCATATCTCAACTAGCAATTCTGCTACTGAAGCTCCCCAGTGGAGTGGCTTAGAAGCAGAGGAAAAGGCCTTGCCACCCACACTTGGAAACCAAGTGATCCAGTAGCAGAGACCTCAAGCTGAGCTTCCAGGCCCAACAGGTCGCCTCTGAGGAGAGCCCTAGGAGAGAAGGGACTTGGGGCATTTTACAGGAAGAGTGTCTCCATCTGTTTCAGGTGTTGGGGGAATACCGCCACAGCTGGTCTTCTCCCCTCCCCATCTATACACAAAAGTTCAAATCCCCAGGTTCTGGCTCAGGACCTCTGGGTGCAGCAAACCTCCCAACTGACTTCTCTGGAGGTGAGAAAGCCATGCCTGCTAGTTCCAGCCACTCTAAACTGGGTTTCCATGGCTTGAGGCCCAAATCCTTTTTTTTTTGACAAGGAGATTTGCTCTTGTCGCCCAGGCTGGAGTGCAGTGGTGTGATCTTGGCTCACTTTGACCTTTGCCTCCTGGGTTCAAGCGATTCTTCTGCCTCAGCCTCCCTAGTAGCTAGGATTACAGACGCATGCCACCATACCCGGCTAATTTTTGTATTTTTAGCAGAGACAGGGTTTTACTACGTTGGCCACGCTGGTCTTGAACTCCTGACCTGAGATGATCTGCCCACCTCGGCCTCCCAAATTGCTGGGATTACAGGCATGAACCACCTTGCCCTGCCCCAAATCCTTTCCATAATAGATCACCAGTCTGTCCCTGTGCCCCAGGTCCTGTGAGGGGTACAACTGCTACACACTCCACTTCTGGGCATCAAAGAGCCACTAGCCATGGAGCCTCGAAAACCACAGGGCCGAGGGCAGCCATGGGGACACTCCCTCCCCACACCTCCGGCCTACACTTCCCACCTGGAGCTGCTTACCTGAATCCTGGGTGGGTGGAAGGAGGTAGAGGCTGGCTCTTGGTGTCCATGGTGCCCCTCAGGGGACTGAGCTGCAAGTGGAGGGCTGGAGGGTGCTGAAAAGTGGGGCAGATGGGAGGCTGGTGTCAGAGTCTGCCCAGAAGAGCCATGGCAAATGAGGAGCTCCTCTGCTGTGTGACATGGCAAGTAGCCAGCCCTTTGCTCCAGCCTCCCAGGTTCCCATCCCAGACAGGGACATCCACAATCACTTCAAGAGTCCCAGCCTTGACACACCTGTCCTGGGACTCCCACCCAAGCCAGGAATGTCCACGCTTCTTCCAGGAGCTGCTCATCTCTGGTGGGACCCCAACCTCACCCATTTCCTGTCCATCGACATTGGGCTCCTCCTTCACACTGCAGCTGAGCTGGACAGACCCCTCTCTTCTGGTGTCCTGGGGACCCTCCCCAGGGGACTCCACTGTCCCTGAGTGGGGGGGGCTCCCCAATGAGTCCTCTGTCTTCTGGGCTGCAGGGAGCACCTCCTGCTTCAAGACATGGGCTGTGATCTGAGGAGAAGAAATAAGTCACAAGGGCTCTAGCCTGGGTCTGTCCCTCCAAGAAGCTGATACTGGCCACACTCACCCAGCCCAACAGCTGCCCAGGGTCATGTTGCAGTCCTTCCACCAGGGCAGCAGCCTCCTCAGGACTGCCTGGCCGCTGACCTCGCACCCAGGCCTGGATCTCAGGAGGCAGTGTGCCCAGGAACTGCTCCAGCACCAGCATCTCCAGCATCTGCTCCTTGGAGTGTGCCTCAGGCTGCAGCCACTGGTGACACAGCTCACGCAGCCGGGCCAGGGCTTCTCGGGGACCTGCCACCTCCTGGTAGCAGAACCCTCGGAAGCGGAGGCGGGCAGTCTCAGGCTCCTCAAGGGTGGTCTCTGGGTCCATGAGGGGCAGGCATGGGGGACCCAGAGGGGATGGCATTCTTGTTCAAGGGGGTGTCTTGGAGTCGTTAAGGGGTCTACAGAAAAGGAAGGGTCCAAGTGTCAGCCAAGAGAATCTGGCCAGGGGAAGGCAGACACCAGGCCCAGCCCAGGGGGCTGAGACCAGGACCAAGTGTACTCTGAGGTCAGAGGAGGTAAGGGCAAGAAGCTTCATGGAAAGATAAGGGTCACAGGAGCTACATAATGACGGCAAATGAGTCGGAGGAAGCCTTGCGGACAAATCCTTGGAGGCAAGGTGTCCAGGGAGCTTCCAGGAAATTGCAAACAGTTGGGTCCAACAGGGGACTGCTAGGAGATGACGGTAAAGAGGTGGATAAGGACAATCATCGCAGGGTTCCAGGGCCAGGCTGGGGAGCCACAGGCAGTGCTTAGCAGAGGTGCGAGGGGAGTGGTCAGCTGGGCAGGTGGGGCCGTGATCCAGGGTGAGTGGGATCCCTGAGCGAGGAAGAGGCAGCAGGTAGAGGGTGGAGCCAGGCTGTCATGTATGGGGGCGAGTGTCCCTCCACAATCTTGGGGATGCTGACTGAGGGGGACATCCTTAAGACTGGCTCTGGAGAGCGATCCCGTGAGGGCTACACGGCAAGTCAGGGCTTTTGTGGACACCGTGCTCGCTGACCACAGCGAACTGTGGATGACTCACACTGCCTGGGCCCATGCGTGTAAAGACGAAAAGCAAAGAACAAAAACGGAGCCAAAGCTCCACGTTGCGTGGAGTCCAGGGATGGGCACCGCTTCCCGGTCCCGGAGGTCTGGCGTGAAATACGGCCCCCTGCAGGGGCCTGAGAGACCAGGCCTGACACCCGGCCTGTCCGAGGGATACTCGAACTTCGGGATCTATCCCCAAAAAGGGAAGAGAACAGAGAGGCGTTCACGAGGACGCGCCCGGCCTCGGCACCCGGAACCGTGTTGAGGGGAGGAAGGGCCTGTGCGAAGGCTGAGGGGACGCGCGCGGCCGGTAGGGAGGTGGGCGGGCCCTCCAGGGCGCCGAGAGCAGGAGTCCTGCAGGCCCCAGAGGGCGGCCCCAAACCCTCCCGCCTTGTAGAAAGGCCGCGCCCCGCTCAGGCAGCCTGCGCTCACCTCAACCCCGGAGCCGTTGCTGGGAGGCCGCTTCCCGGAAGTGGAGCCGCGCAGCCCAGGGCGCCTCAGCCGGGTGTTGCCCCGGCGACGCTGCGCTGACCAATCCCGCGCCAGCACCGAAGGCACCGCCCACTCCCTTTAAACTACGTTTCCCATGAGCGTCAGCAAAGACAGGCGGGACCGCGGCCGCCGGACCCGCATTTGCAGAGGCCTCTGACGCCTGAGAAGCGCTCTGTTCCTCTAGGAGGTGCCGCAGTGTTCCACAGTTATATAGGCTCCCTCCGCTCTGGGAGCAGCTCTCCCTTACCATGTTATAAACCTGCAAGTCTGTATAGTGGCCCGGTTCCTACTGGCCGGTGAGGGGAGAGACGGGAGGTTTTGCCCAATGAGAGGTGGCGCTTGCCTGGCCCCACCCCCACGACGTTCCGCTCGACCAGCCCCCGGATAACAGCCAGGGCATATCCGCCAGCCTCCAGCTGTTCTCATGACGTCAGGAGCGTTGCCTCGACTTCCGAGGAGGCCGGAAATGGTGGCCCAGTGGTCTCCTGGGTCGAGTAGTTCGCTGTGGCTCTTTCCAAGTGGTCCCGGGAGAGGCGGGGTCGGGTGTGGACCACCACCTGAACTTGGGCTTTCTCCCTCCTGGAGGGTGCGGGGGGCTTCTTTGGCCTATGTTAAGCGCCCTGCGGTCACGCGGGGGCCACAGCGACCCTGAAGAGGTACTGACGGTTGTGACCGCAGTCTCTGACGTCTTCAGATGTCAGTCCTGCAAAGTCGGGGGCGGAGGTTTTCCGCCAGGCTGATGGGACTTGCGCAACCGTTTATTTACCTTTTATTTAATTTGGGGAGAACTAGACAGGGTGCCACTAGTTTCTCCCAATAAGCAATGTTACAGTTTTCTAAATCTGTGGGATCAGTTTTGCTTCCACACTTAAATGACATTATCAGTTCTAAATTACACCACCTGTTTTGGTTTCTTTGGATACTTGGGAATCTCTGCTGCCTACTCTGGATGCAGAGCAATGGTCTTAATCACAGATTGGAAGCACTGAGCACATGCGTGGTGGGACTTGTCAACTTTGAGCTTTCCAGAAGCCTCCTCGGGTTGTTTTTGGGGATGGGGTGCTTAGGTCTTTTCTCTGGGACTGTGCAGATTCCCAGGAGAAAAACAAAAAACAAACTTTTACCCTCCACCAGGTGGGGAGAGCATTGGGTCATTAAGGGCTTCTTCAGCAGCTGTTCCCCAGGCAGCTTTGTTGTAGGTCTCCTGTATCTGGGCTGCTGGTTCTCTCTGCCTTCTGCTGTTCTGCCGTAGCCGGGTGGGAACTCTCTCCACTTCCCCAAGTGGCCACGCAGTATATGGCATCCCTAACTTAGTGACAGCTCCCATCCACTTCTAGCTTAGGAATGCCGTTGCTGCTGACTCATCTTTCACCATCCTCATACTTGTGGATTTGTGTTTTAATTGCTCCCCTCTGTGGTTTCAGTGGAGTTCCAAGTCCAGTGAGATTTATGTGTTTGGTCTGACCTTTTGACACAGACCTTTTGACCTAGAAGCCCAGGGACACTTTTACAGTCACTGCCTAATCAGGATTAAGAGCAGAGGGGGAGGCTGGATGGAGGTCAGCTAAAGGGCCAAGACCTGGATGGAGGCGGGAGTCCAAGTTGGGGGCCACCGACCAGTCATGGGTTTAAGGAGGGCAAGATTGGAGGAGGGTGGACAAACTGAGAGACAACAGGAACACAAGCAGATGTGGAAAGGAGCCTGATGGAGGGAAGAGCTGGTGGGAAGACAAGGTAGGGCACTGAGCCCAGCCTAAGGGGTCAGGCAGGCTCAGGGCAGAAACTTCAGCGTCTGTCAAAGGCACAGAAATGATTTCATGTGACTCTCTGGGTATCCACTTGTTTGACAGATGCTTCTGCTCCTGACTCCCATGGCTTCCCCCAGAAAAGTCCTCTTTCAGACAGGGAAGGGTTGTCTGCATTTCACAGCTCTGCAGACTTAGTAGGGGACAGTGGTTCAGGGACTTACTGGGATCCTGGAGGTCCAAGTCTTGCAGACTCCGGGAGAGCTGGGTCCTGCTTGTCTCCACTCCCTGCAGGAACCTGTGAGGTTTCACAGGTGGAATACCAAGTGGGTGGGGCGAGTTTCTGCTCTTTGTGTATAGAGTGGGATCGCTGCAAGGCTTTGGAAGCCATGGGATGGAGCGACCACCGGTCTGGAGTCAACCTTGCAGGGTCATCACACATGGCCACACCCTCTATCTCAGCAGCAGGGGAACACAGCCCTGCTTTGGTTTCTCCACCTACCATCATCCCATCAGCAGGATCCACCAGGACTCATCACCTAACAGAGCTGCTGCTCCAGGCAGCCCCACCCCATCCCACTTTATCCAGCTTCTGGCTCCCCCAACCCACCTCTGGCCCTGAAAAGGATACAGGTATCCCACTCCCTCACTGGACCGCAGACAGGCTGCATCTCTATTCTGTGGCCTCTTGAGGGTGCCCAGGTTGAAGCCAAGTCCAGGAACTTCTGTGATGATGACACATGCTGATGGCATGTCAGGGTATGTTCAATACCATCTGCATTGTATGAGGGTGAAATGGGTGTTGGGTTGCTACTGTTCACACCAATGTTTAAAAAGAAAGCTTTATCAGAGAAGCTGTTTGAACTGTTATTAAAAACTAAACCATGCTCTGGAGTAGGGACAAGAAGCTGTGCTGTGGCAGTCCAAACTGCTGTACAAGAAATTGCAACACCTACTCCGAGTTGCAGATGCTAGTCTTTTTTTTTTTTTTTTCATGAAAGAGACCTTGAATTTCCTTGGAGGTGAGGCTCCAGGTAGGGACAGGGCCTGGTCTGCTGAAGGCCACAGGAAGCAAATAGCCCCCAGTCCACCTTTCTGTTCCTGCCATGCAGGGCCATTACACTGGGGTGGGGAGGTCATCAGGAGGATGTCACACATGGCCTTAGGTAATGGCAAGTCGTTCCTATTCAGTTCTCTGTCCGGCCTCCAACTGAGGAGGGATAATGGGGGTAAGGTGAGACGGGGTGTGGGGGGGGAAGTGGCCACCAAACCCAGCAAAAATGAGCAGCTCCATCTTGTCTGAAGTTAACATTGTCCCCTCAGAAGTAAAGGCTCCTCATCACATCAATTTTAGTAAACAAGTCAGTGACAGGCCTTGGCCAAGCTGAGACTTGGACCAAAACCTGAGCAAGTGCCACTGGAAAGCCATCATCCTAGCTCTGTCCTTCCAATGCTGAGAGCCACATGTTCCCCCATGGGCATCCCTATGCTGAGTCGGCTATGTGAAGCCAGGACAGGCCCTCATACCTGGCCAGAGTGCAGCCCAGGAGATGAGGTATCTGGACGCTGGGTCAGTCCACCTGGGCTTGGGTCCCAGCTCTGCTGTGTGCCATGGCAACTCACCTCTGCCTGTGTGCCTCAGTTTCCTCATCTTCCAAGGGGTGATACCAGCCACAGCAGCCATCTCTCAGAGCTTCAAGAGAAATTTCCCAGCACTTAAGACAGGAGCCGACAGTAAGCACATGTTGGCTCTCATTAGGACTCCACCTGTCAGTATCTGAAAACATGATGTTTGGTAGACCCAAACCTTTTTCCCAGAGGCAGTGGCTGACACTATGAGCCCACATCCTGATCCCATCACTTGTGGTCTCCTGTCTGCTAGGCTGGCCCCTAGGAAGCCTTGGATGAACAGTGGCAGTGGTAACGGGTGGGGGCAGGGGGAGGAGAATGCCCTCAGCATCTATCCAGCAGCTAGTTTGTGTGCAGATAAGTTTCTCTGGGTCACACAACCTATGTCCACATGTCCCTCACCTTAGCATCCACTGTTGTAACACATGAAGCAGTACCACATTGCAGTGCTGTGACTGTCAGCCTCCTACTGGCTCTTAATAGTCCTGGCCCAACTAGAGTTTCAGCCACCATGTCCTCCCGCTGATGTTTCTACAGTGCTACTTCTTTGGGGATGCAGATACTGGCAAATTCAGTCCCCACGTGCAAATGAAATCACAGCCAAAGGGGCTCCCTTATCCCTGCCTAACAAGTACAAGGCTTTTTCCCTGCTGTGGATCTGCAGAGGACATATGCCCTTTAGATGTGGAAGGGATTCACAGAAGGCCAAGAAAGGGCGAGGCTGCAACCTGTGACCTCAGACCTCCGCTGGCTCCGAAACTGCGGCTGGGCCCAAGGCGGGAGTGGGCTCGCTTTCCTTCACTGGCGCACCTTCTGTTGATGCCCCAGAAACAGACCTGGCCTGGGGCTGCAGGCTGGCCCTGGATCGCCGGACGGTCTTCTCACCGGTATGTATCCTCTGGTGGTGGAAGAGGGCCGGGCGCTCACGGAAGGCGCGACCACACTGCGTGCACACGAAGGGCTTCTCGCCCGTGTGAATGCGCCGGTGGCTCAGCAGCACAGCGCCCTTCGCGAAGGCCTTGCCACAGTCCCCGCAGCGGAAGGGCCGCTCGCCTGTGTGCAGGAGCTGGTGCTGGGTCAGGTTGGAGCTGTGGCTAAAGGCACGGCCGCACTGTGCGCAGGCGAAGGGCTTCTCGCCCGTGTGCACACGCTGGTGCTTAAACAGCGAGGACCCCTGGCTGAAGGCGGCACCGCAGAGCGCGCACACAAAGGGCTTCTCGCCTGTATGCGTGCGCTCGTGCTGGATCAGGTGCGAGTTGCGGCAGAAGCGGCGGCCACACTGTGCACAGGCATAGGGACGTCCGCCCGCGTGTATCTTGCGGTGCTGGCTGAGGTTGGAGCCGTGGCTGAAGGCCTTGCCGCACTCGGAGCAGCGGAAGGACTTCTCAGCCGTGTGGATGCGCTGGTGCCGCACCAGTGAGGAGCTGTGCCTGAAGGCCTTGCCACACGCGGGGCAGGCGTAGGGCGTCTCGCCGCTGTGGATGCGCTGGTGCTGCGTCAGGTGCGACGTCTGGCTGAAGGCCTTGCCGCACTGGGAGCACTCGTAGGGCCGCTCCCCTGTGTGGGTGCGTAGGTGCTTGAGGAGGTCGGAGCTCTTCACGAACACTTTGCTGCACGCCCTGCATTCGAAGGACTTTTCCCCAGCGTGGAGAGCCTCGCCCAGCTCATCCCAGGTCGAAGGCTCCTGGCCACCGAGCAGTCTCTGAGGCTCCTGCCAAGCTGAACCCATTCCGTGATTCCCCTGACCGCTGGCGGCCTCCACGTCCGGGGCGTTCCCGAAGGGTCTCCCAGGGGCCTCCAGCGCACATGGCTTCTGCTGCTGAGGCGTCCTAGGCTGCCTCCCAGGCACCGGGTGCTCTGTGAGGGTCTCTTCCCTAAGCTGGCCAACCTCAGGAGTCCTGAGTGGGGACGTCAGTCGCAGGCTGATGCTAGCTTGCCCACTGTCTGAGCCTAGCAGGAGCCTCTCCCAGTAGATCACCGACACCCCCGTGGGTTTTCTCTCCCGAGATGGGGAGGCACCCCGTTGTTGCTGCAGGCCTTCTGTACTGTGGCAGGCACCGGCAACAGGGAAGACACTAGTAGTCATTACGGGTAGGGTATCTGGAAAAGCCGGTTGCCTTGCTGCTTCTCCAGAAACATCTCCATCTTCTGCCAAACTCCAGAAACCTGAAGATAGAGAAATGGTGGTTGCCTAGGGCATCCTGGTTAGCAGAGGACCAGGGTAGGCTGAGTGGACACGCAAGAGGGAATGTGGGGGATGGCACAAAAGCTTAGGGGAAAAGTAGAGGTGAGGCTAGCCCTGGGGGTTTGGGGGAAGCATCTGCCCTGATGGGTGTGGCACTGACCGCAGTGGGAACTCCCATGATCAAGGTGGCAGCCCCCAGACACCCAGGAGGTGGGGCGGAGGGAAACAGCAGCTGCTGTGTGCCTTGTACATCTCTACACTGGCTGTTCCGTCCACTCCCTTTCCATTGCTCACCGCCTTCTCCCTTGGTGCCCCCCTCTCGGGCACCCACTCCCCAGCCTGCTCTTGGCAATGACCTCCATCCAATGCTCTAGACTCTACTCCTGAATCCTGCTTACCAACAGCCTCCCCCACCACACCCAAGCCCCACAAAAGCAGGACCAGGATCGGCCTGGTTGAAGTTTTGTCTACATTGCCTGGAATGGGCCTGGACACTGTGAGCACTCAGGAAACATTTGCTGAACACAAAGATGAATGATGGGTTAAAGAAATGGCCCATTGGCCAGGTACAGTGGCTCACGCCTATAATCCCAGCACTTTGGGAGGCCGAGGCGGGTGGATCATGAGGTCAAGAGATCGAGACCATCCTGGTCAACATGGTGAAACCCTGTCTCTACTAAAAATACAAAAATTAGCTGGGCATGGTGGCACATGCCTGTAGTCCCAGCTACTCGGGAGGCTGCGGCAGGAGAATTGCTTGAACCCAGGAGGCAGAGGTTGCAGTGAGCCGAGATCATGCCATTGCACTCCAGCCTGGGCAACAAGAGTGAAGCTCCGTCTCAAAAAACAGAAACAAAGAAATGGCCTATTAATCATGGCAGTGACTAGGCCATGGAGGGTGTGAAGCCACACAGCCCAGCTGATGGCAGGACTCTGAGCTGGTCTCACCTGAGGGCCCTTCTGTGTCAACCCAGCTTCTGTGCCCTTGGAGCTCCCCCTTCAAGGGCAGCTAAGGCTGCAGCCTCCAGGAGAGGCTGATGATGAAAGAGAAGTGAATCGGGTGGGAGGTAGGTGAGGAGGGTGCTTCTTGGGAGTATGGGAAGCAGGGACAGAGGCATGGCCACAGGTTGGTCCCAAATTCACCCCACCCTGAGCTCCCACTCACCAGAATTGCGCCTCCTGTGGGTGTTCCTGGACATGGTCATGTCCGTTCCACTAGGAACCCAGGGCTCCTCGCCACGCTCGAGCTGGATGACCACACGAGGTCGAGAGGTGGAGAGTCCTGTGAGGAGGTAGTGCAGGTTAGAGTCCAGCCCCAGCTCAAGACAACCCACCTCCCAACAGAGGGCAGGAGTCAGGGCTTCATGGAAATAGAAAACGTCATCTGTGCAACCAGGAGAATCTACAGATGGCACAGGGCAAGGGTCTCACAGGAATAGCTCATTCATCGCCAGGGCAGTAACTGTGCCCAGAGCACCAAAGGAAGGGGACTGAGCCCAGGCACGGAGAGGCCACAGCTGGACAGGGTCACAGGGAGTGGTTGAGCCAACCAGACTGCATGTCTACAGGACCAGCCCCCTATTATTCCACATGGCCCCTGGCTGCAAGAAGGGCCTGCTCATCAGCCACCGGGGAGGTGAGGGGCAGTCCTGGCCAGTCAGCTTGTCATCAATAGCCCATTTCATGGAGTATCCAGGGCCTTACCCAGTGAGGCCACAAGTGCAAAGTTGTCTAGCATCACGCGGCGGTACAGGGCCCTCTGGGCTGTGTCTAGGAGCCCCCACTCCTCCTGGGAGAAGTACACAGCCACATCCTCGAAGGCCATCTGGTCCTAAAAGAGCAGGGAGGGGGAGATAGGCATGGTCTAAAACTAGGTTATCCAACCTTTTGGTTTCCCAGGGCCACACTGAAAGAATTGTCTTGGGCAACACATAAAATACACTAATACTAATTTTGTTTAGCTGATGAGCTAAACAAAAAAAAAAATTGCAAAAATATCTCATGTTTTAAGAAAGTTTAAGAATTTGTAGGCCGGGCGCAATGGCTCAAGCCTGTAATTCCAGCACTTTGGGAGGCCGAGGCGGGTGGATCACGAGGTCAAGAGATCGAGACCATCCTGGTCAACATGGTGAAACCCCGACTCTACTAAAAATACAAAACATTAGCTGGGCATGGTGGCGCGTGCCTGTAATCCCAGCTACTCAGGAGGTTGAGGCAGGAGAATTGCCTGAACCCGGGAGGCGGAGGTTGCGGTGAGCCGAGATAGTGCCATTGCACTCCAGCCTGGGTAACAAGAGTGAAACTCTGTCTCAAAAAAAAAAAAAAAAAAAAAGAATTTGTTCTGGGCCACATTCAAAGCGATCCTGGGCTGGGGGTTGGACAAGCTTGGTTAAGGTATGATTGTGAGCCAGGATCAAGCTCCCCATCCCAACGGCCACCTCCCATGATGTCCCTCGGACACTCACCCTCCTTCCCTGGGTTCTGCCCCGGCTATCTTCAGATGGCACTTCCCTCACATGTCTGGGACCCCTCCCCTCCTGTCCACACCACAGATGCCTTCTTGGCCTCCCCACTGGCCACTCCATACACAAGCAGTCTAGAGCAAGTCCTGGCTGGGCCCTCAGTTGCCACACCAAGAGCAGCCGCAGGTGTCCACTCATGACTCAGTATGACCGCTCATGACCCTCCTCAGATGTGCCCTTTCTGCTCTTGTAACAATTAACTGTGTAAGTCCCAGCTGGGGCTTCCCAGGAATATCCATCACTGGTACCCTTCCCTGCTGAGCCTGCTTGCCTGACATTTCCAGGCTGCTCATGCAGCCTGAGAGACTGGATGATTCTTACCAGTAGCCACAGGGGAGCATCCCAAGAACCTGTGAACACAGAGGAACTCAATCCCTTCTTCCTTCCACAGGGTGCCCCCTCTATTTCTTTCCCTCTCTGTTGCCTCCCTCCCCTCCTCAGCCGGCTCCACTCCTCCCCTTCCCCTGATAGCCCCAGGCAACCCAGCTGTTCTTTATCCTCAAGCCATAACTGCCCACACCTGGCTGAGTTTCTACCCACTCCTCAGTTCAATTCATAGGCCCCGTCCACAGCCTAGGACACCAGCAACGTCAGATCCAGTGACATGACCAACCTGGGACATCCCAGACTCCTGATCTTTCCCCTGGAGGAAACCTGCTTTCCCTTTAATCCTCCTTTCTGTTTACAGCAACTCCCTTCTTCCAGGCGCTCAGGCTGAACATGGGGTAGTTCTTCAGCCACCCCACACGTGATGCGTCCGCAGATGCACCTGGAATTCACCTGATGTCACCTCTACAGCTGCCCAGACAGGTTCTTCCATTCAGGCCGACACCCCTGCATGTCTGTTCTCCACGCGGCAAACGGTGGAACCATTTTAAAACCCCAACTCAGAGTATGTCCTGATTCTGTTCAAAACCTTCCATGTCTCCCAACGCCCTCGAGATCAAGCCCACCTCCTCGCCCGCTACTGCAGCCACACACAGCCCATCTTCCCCCGAGCTCCACGTCGAGAGCGCTCAGTCCCGGAAGCACCGGGGCGCGAGCTCCCCTCCCGGGTTTTGCACACTCGGGGCTCTCCCCTCCGAGCTTCCTTCAGGATTTCAGCCGCTTGGCTGCCGGAAGTCGGGAGCCCACCATGCCCTGGACACCGGGGTTTGCACTGACACCCTAACCACCCCGGGCAGGGAGAGGAAACACGACGAGGCGAGGTCTAGAGAGCGGCCTCCCTCCGTGGGGGCGCGGTCTGTGGGAGCAGGGGCTCCCCCGCCTCCCCGGGGCGGGCTTGTCAGCGCCGCCGTCGCAGCGGAACCCGCAACTGGGAGGGAAGAAAGGCGTGGACCACCCGGCACCGCCATCCCCACCCGCAGCATCCCCGGCCGTCAAGGACGCGGAATGCCCGGCGCGCGGCCTCCTGGGCTGCCGTACGGCGGGAGAGCGCATTGCTCCCGCTGCGGCCGACAGCCCCCGGAACGCCCACGACGCACTGAGAAACAGAGGTTTAGGGGGCGCGGCTGGCGGCCGGCGCCCTGGGTCACGACGCGTGCGCAGGACGGGCCCGACGCGGGCCCTCAGCCAGTACCTTCCTCGCCGCCCGCCTCGGGCCCCGGGAACCTACTGGAAACCGGCCCCAACCCGCGGGCCCCGGCCCAGACCACCGGTGTGGCCTGACGCGAGCCGCGAAGTGACAGCCCCACCGCCGGAAGTCCAGCCCTCCGGTTCTCATTGGCCCAATGCGCGCCGCCGATGCTTACGCACAGCCTTCGGGGTCATGTGGTTCCCGCCAGTTTCTCGCCGTAGAGGCGGGGCCCTGACCGGTCTCCATGGTAACGTCCAAGCACCCCTGCGCGGGGCGCTGGGAAATGGAGTTCCGCGGCTGCCCCGGGCTTTCAAGGTCTTGGTGGCGCTGGTGGACTCGCCTGGTGGGTAGTCCTGCCTCCGGGTTACAGGTTCCCCGCGCCCACCCAAGCAGCCCCGAGACTAAACCCTGCAGGTACGAAAGCAGAAACTGCCAAGGTTCCAGAAGGCAACACCAGCAGGGAGCACGGGGGAGAAAACGCACCCGGTAGGGCAGGTGTAGGTAGAGGAGTCGTTGCCTGGAGCTCCGGGTTCCCTTCCCAGCTCTTTCTCTCACTAACCGTGCGTACTGGGCACAGGTTTGACCTCTCTCTGTGTCAGTGTCCCGTAAATGTTTAAAGTGTTTTGTTTTGTTTTTGAGACGTAGTCTTGCTCTTGTTGCCCAGGTTGGAGTGCAGTGGCACAATCTCGGCTCACTGCAGCCTCCACCTCCCGGGTTCCAGTGATTCTACTGCCTCAGCCTCCAGAGTCGCTGGGATTACAGACTCCCGCCACCACGCCCGGCTAATTTTTTTATTTTTAGTAGAGACGGGGTTTGGCCATGTTGGCCAGACTGGTCTCAAACCCCTGACCTCGTGATCCGCCCGCCTCAGCCTCCCAAAGTGCTGAGATTACAGGTGTGAGCCACCGCGACCGGCCTAAGGTCAGTTTTTCAGCCTCTACGCCAAGAATTCTCAGCCTCTAAGCCTGTATTTGTCTTGAGTCTGTGATTGTTCTTGGATGCTTGCCCAAAGCGTCTGTTTTCCTTGTAATTTGGATGGGCAGAAGGTACTTCCCCAGGCTTGCTTGTCCTTAGACCATCTAGTTCTTGTCTGGCCCCACACATCACAATATTGATTCTTTTTTTTTTTTTTTTTGAGACGGAGTTTCGCTCGTTACCCAGGCTGGAGTGCAATGGCGCGATCTCGGCTCACCGCAACCTCCGCCTCCTCGGTTCAGGCAATTCTCCTGCCTCAGCCTCCTGAGTAGCTGGGATTACAGGCGTGTGCCACCATGCCCAGCTAACTTTTGTATTTTTAGTAGAGACGGGGTTTCACCATGTTGACCAGGATGGTCTCGATCTCTTGAGCTTGTGATCCACCCGCCTCGGCCTCCCAAAGTGCTGGGATTACAAGCGTGAGCCACCGCGCCCGGCCTACAATATTGATTCTTTTTTCCTTTTTTCTTGGGACCAATTTAAGTTTTTGTTTTGTTTTGATTTTTTGACAGGATCTTGCTCTGTTGCCAATGCTGGACTGCAGTGGCACGATCTAGGCTCACTGCAACCTCCGCCTCCAGCTTCAAGTGATCCTCCTGCCTCAGCCTCCCTTCTAGCTGGGACCACAGGTGCGCACCACCACGCCCGGCTAATTTTTGTATTTTTAGTAAAGATGGGGTTTCACCATGTTTGACAGGGTGGTCTTGAACTCCTGACCTCAGGTGATCCACCTGCCTCAGCCTCCCAAGGTGTTGGGATTACAGACCAATTTAAGTATCTTTGACACATAAAAAAGAAAGGCAGAGCAGTCTCAATGTAGACTGTCCCTGTTGGCAGAGAATAAAAGGTTATCTCTTTGTCTTGTTTTTGGGACCTGTAGACAGTTCTCAGGTGTGAAGTTCCTTAATTCTTTTTGCCTCCCTCCCTCTATACCTACCTCCATCTATAACTATCTCTCTGTCTACTGTCAGCTATAACTGTCCACCTAATTGATTCTACTTGTAAATCCTTGTAGCGCAAGAAGGCTCATCACGTTTGGAATGTTTTAATATAAATTTTGTTATTTTGAAATAATTTAAACTTTTTTTTTTTTTTTGAGACAGCATCTTGCTCTGTCACCCAGGCTGGAGTGCAGTGGCGCAATCTTGGCTCACTGCAATCTCTGTCTTCTGGGTTCAAGAGATTCTTGTGTCTCAGCCTCCCAAATAGCTGAAATTACAGGTGCATGCCACCACACCCAGCTAATTTTTTGTATTTTTAGTAGAGACAAGGTTTCACCATGTTGGTAAGGCTGGTCTCAAACTCCTGACCTCAAGGGATCTGCCTGAATCTCAGCTCACTGCAACCTCCGCCTCCTACTTCAAGTAATTCTCCTGCCTCAGACTCCCAAGTAGCTGGGACTACAGGCACACACCACCATGCTCAGCTAGTTTTTGTATTTCTTAGTAGAGACGGTGTTTCGCCGTGTTGGCCAAGATGGTCTCGATCTCTTGACCTCGTGATCCACCAGCCTTAGCCTCCAGAAGTGCTGGGATTACAAGCGTCAGCCACCATGCCCAGTGCTGAGTGACATTTTCTAACACATTTTCCACTTCTCATCCTGGTGTGAACAACAAGATGACTGGTATATGGTATGCTATCAGTCATAATTATGATTATTACGTTCAGTTTTCAGCCACGAAAAATAAAATGACCATTTTTTTTTTTTTGACAATCACATCTTTAACCACGGCCATTTTAAGTTTTGTCCTCTTCCTT